GAAGGTGAACGGGGGTGCCATGGCACTGGGCCATCCGCTTGGAGGCGCGGACGCCGGTGCACAATCGCTTGAGGAACTGAGTCGGCGATAGCCGCAGAGCTTCCGACATCTTCCGACAAGCAGACAACGAGGCTTTAGGCCAATGTATCCTCGATGGACAATCTCCAGGGGCACTGCCTGAACCTGTCAGACTTCGAGATACTTCGAGCCTGGCGGGTTAAATCTGAGCCCGATCGGTCTTGCTAAAGAAGCGAGTACATCTCCGCGTTCTGCAGGAACTGGTGCCAAGTTGATGACGACCCTGGTGCATGAATTGCGGCGTCGGCAGGCAAGGGTCGAGTGACGAAGGTTTCGAGATGCGGTGACTTGTTCAATCTTGTTCACTTGCCTTCGCCGCAGGGCCGATTTGGGCTGCTCGCCATCTGCGAGGGCGGTGGCACAGCCAATGCGACAGTCGCTAGTATCTTACGTGGGATGGGACGGAACACGCATTCGTCTCTGAAACGAACAAGAGCCAATGCGCAACAGTCCCTGTGAATGCTGAGATCGAGCTGCTGCCAGCTGCAAAACTTTAAGCTCGTGGGAGCCTCACATCTGGTGAGGGGAGGCGGATAACTCGCCGATCGTCACTGTGTATGTTGGAGCCGTGTAATCACGAGGGTGGTATCCGAAGTACGAGCCTCGCCTGTTAGGCAGTGAAGTCCTGGCGTCTGCAATCATGTCGTCACATGATTGCTTCCTCAACTGACTTGAGCTCTGTTGGACCTTCTTGGCCCAGCAGAGTGAACGCAGAATCAGGACTAGCCTATGCACCGTCTCTGCTCAGAAACTCCGTGCAGGCCAACCTGCTGTCCCAGCTCAGCTGAGCTCGAGATGGTCCGTGCGATTAGCGTAGTATGGAAAGGATGCCTCGCGTTCTCTAGGACTTTTGAATTTCTTGAGAAGCTTGGTGCCTCTTGCGACCCATGTTTTCCACTCTGCTTGGGAGTTCAGCGGTCGCAGAGGGATGCTGGATGAGCAACGTCTGTCGTCCGTGGCAGCACGTAGGTGTATAGACGTTGGACAGAGTCTGCAGTGGCGGATTCTCCGGGCGAGAGACAGACGCAATGCCCACATATCACGTTCACCTCGAACTGTCTGCATCCTATACAGCATGTAGCTGCCTGCACATCGCGTCAAGTTGTGGGTCAAGCTGGGAGGGTGGTGAAGGGTAGTGAATTGTTTGCCAACATGATCTTGGCACCTTTTTTGTCGAGGCTGGAAGCTGGAAGCTGCAGAGTTTTTGTACAGATCGATGTACCGACGTACCCGAGTGTTTCTGGTTGTCATACGCTGTGACAGGTTCATGTGTATGTGTGCTGGCTACGGAGCTCCAGCTGAGACGCCTGTGGACAAGCAAGTTCCACCTGCAAAGGCAAAGACAGGCCACCTTCGCTTTCTCGTGACAGCTTCGTGTGCCAACATTCAGTCGCATGAGTCAGAGATGCGAAGTGTTGCACGCTGTGAGGCCTTTCCGACCCAAAGGCACCGACGCTGCTTCAAAAGCAAAGCCGTCGAGAGGCTTGCGAAAGTGCTGCAGAAGCTGAAGCATTGCATTCGCGGATGTGTGCATGTGTGCACGTGCAATAGGTCCACATTGACAAGACGACGACCATCCCCCTGGAATTGTATTGGGAACTCATCCGGGCCGGCGAGCGGGCCAAGGAGAGGGGGCAGCATCAGCTGACGAAGGCGCAACACTGCCATCGGCGTCTTTTGCATCCTGCCACTTGTCTCAGCCTCTCTCTCTCTCTCTCACTCTCTCTCTCTCACTCTCTCTCTCTCTCTCTCTCTCTCTCTCTCGAGTTCGCTCCTGGCAGGGCACCAGGCACGTCGGCATGCACCTCATCATGAGTACTTGAATTGTGTCCTCCGCTTGTGCGAACCCCGTTGTCAAAAGTTTTGCATGCCAAAAAGTTTGTGCCACTGCTGCGTTCGCACTTACGGTCTCACCTAGACTAGCTCGCCATTGCGTTCTTGAGACTAGAGTTTTTCGGAGCCAGCCGGAGCGCTCCTCGAAGCCCCAAGCCCCCATCAAACAAGTTGCACCGGCTTGAAGGGAACCTCTCAGCCGAGATGGCATTTCCCCATGGTGGCGGAGAGTTGGGTCCGCGTTTTGTGGATTGAAAAGGCCATCCTTTCATCTTTGGACTTCACGATCTCTCCACCTGGTTTGGTTCCAACTGGTGTCAAATTTGGTACAACCGGCTCGGAACGTGGAAACTGAGCCGGCACAGCCTGCACTGCTTTAATTCGTCAACATACTCGACGCAAGCAAGACGTCGCGCACAACTGCGCTTGCTGTTCGAGGGTCGTCGCCAACGTGACAACACGGCAACAAGACTGGGATTCAGACAGTCTTTTCGCTTGCAGTGGCAAGTTTGCAGCGTGATCCTTGCACAGTTGCGTGTCTCACCAATTCAAGCAGTGCTGAGACACCATCTTCCTGAAGAATGCTCAACGGGTCAAGCGCAGCCGTCAATGGAATCTTAGCAAATCGAATCGTTGATAGTAGGATGCCTTCGGTGCAAGAACGGCAGAGTGTCAGATTCAGGAACTGGAGGCCTCATTGCAGAACTGCGCAAGTTGGATACATGTGTAAATCGCTGTGCTGAGTATTCAAGTGTTCCACGGTCAGCAGTTCATTGCCCTTTGATCACGGCAGCGACACGAGGCAGCAGTTGGAGAATGTTGCAAGCATTCCCTGGTGCTCAAGAGCCAGGACGGGCTGCAGCGAATGGAGCTAAAGTGCTCAGATGCCGTCTTCCGATCGAGACGATGATGAACTCTCGGATTCTGCTCGTGCTGCACTTCGAATTCAGCAAGAAATCGAGGGCGGCGTCTCCGACGAAGCTCCACGCAAAACTTCATCTCGCTCCTCGGGGAATGGGCGAACACACGGAGCTGTCACTGGCATTGCTCTCGGCGAGTATGCAGACTCACCGAAAGCCTCTAAAGCCTCCAAAGCCTCCAAAGAAGGGGTGCAGATCCGAGCAAAGGGCAGCAAGGTGCCTTTTCAAAGGGGCTCGGGGGCTCACGAGTGCGAGACTCACAGAGAGAGCGTCTGCTCAGATGTCTCGAGCAGGCTGGCCTCTTCAAGGAGAGCCTGGAGTCCCTGGCCTACCGCGAGGATTCTGATCACGAGGTGGAGTCACAGAGACGAGCAGACACACCTGTATCTTCAGATTTGCTTGGGCAGTGGTCAGGTGAACCCGGAAGCTCCGGCTGGAAGCTTTCGGAAGAAGGATCTTCAACAGGAGGAGCGCGACAGAAGCAAGAAAGCGCGCGTGGGGTTGGATGGGAAGCTCTACCAATTTATCGATGCTCCAAGCGATGATGAAGAGCATCAAGCTTCAGACGCCAACGAAGGTGCTGTCGATGATAGTGTGCAGTTGCCGTCGTTAGTAGTCTTGCAATCAGTTTGTGTAGAGGCAAGCAGAAGACGAAGAAGAAGACAGATACGAAGAAAGAGAAGAAGGCGAAAAAGGTGCGGGTGCATGTGAGCTCGAGCCGCAAGTAGGACTTGTCAGGTAGTTGCAAAGCAGACAGATTACAGGACAGGATAGGGGACAAGTCATTTCATCGCTGAACTGTTGCACAGGACCCCAAGAAGAAGAAAAAGAAGAAACACAAGAAGAAAGTCGCAACCTCAGGATTTACACTTCAGCTGCATTTCGTATTTGGATGACTTCTAAATATGTCACACTTCCTCGGTATCTGCACTTTGTCCAAAAAGCGCATACCGAGTCAAAGAAGCACAAGGGCCCGGCCCTCGGCGATGTGACGTGAACATCTTCAGCAAGCAGTTGCCCTCTGAAAATCTCCTTGTGCCGTTTTTTGAGACTCTTCGAGCTCATCCTCAAGCTCTTAGAAGATCAACGCCGCCTCCTGGTTTGAAGATCATCATACCTCTGACAAAACTGGTCGTCGCTGCCATGACGCTTGACTGCCCCTCTAGATGCAGCAATTTTCAGCTTCCAGCAATCTCAGGATTCGACAGTCTGGAGATGTGTGCACCGGCTACGTGCAGGAGAATCTCTTCATGCATCGCAGCAGAAGCAAGGCCGGCCTTGCGGCGTTCCAACGTGACATGAATCCTTTCCTAACTTCTCCATGAATACACATGTGTACGGTACGTATGTGTGTGGGACACTGCTGAACATGCTGAGAAGACCTAACCATTCATCTAGTTCTCGCGGTGCGGCGCTTTTGCTGCTAGCAGCACTAACAAAGCTATCGGGCTTGAGGGGATGGAGTCCCTGACGAGCGTCTTTGAACCTGCAAAAAGTCGCGCCGCGCCACGGATGTTGGATCGGCGACATCACATATCATGCGCCTGCGAATCGACATCAAAACTACAGTATTGTGCGCTTGTTCCAGTATTTGAGTAGCAGTTCCTGCGACGCATCATGTAACTGTTGGTGTGATCATGGCTCCGAGCCCTGGTTCTATGAATTCCGGCATCAAGTGTTCGAAGGGATGTTAACAAGATGTGGCAAACGCAAAGCTTTTGTGGAGGCCATGCTGAAGCAGCACAGGCACCGGTGGAGCCGCGATACCCATGATCATGGCTGGCGAGAAGTGAGAAAGGGTGCCTGCGCACCAGCACTCTCCCGCCGGGCTTCTGTCAGTCTCTCTCGCATGAACGCGGTGGCATCGGATTTGACAGATGTCGTTTACCAAAAAGGAGTTCTGCGATCTGCCCGGAATCTGCGCTTAGCTTGGTGGCTGCTGGCGAACTTCGGCCGGATGTCGAGCTTGAAAGTTGAAATCTTTGCAATAGCTGGCTCGACAGCTGTTCCAGCCAGCTTCTGCTTAGAGCTCAGGAACACAAGTTGCCGAAGAGGACATATACGCCTTGTCGCCAAAGGCATTCTGTTCCCAACGTAGGCCCCAGACTTGGCCCGCTGGGATACGACGCACACCTTCCGGGCCCCTTCATCCGAGAAATCCTGTTACCTATGCAGGTCCGCGGCCCGGCTTGGGCTCAAAAGCAGCGTTGTCCCAGACTGTGCCTTGCAGGTCCAAGCTCAGAATGTGCGAATTGGCATGTCGCCAACTCGTTCGGATGTCCAGTGCCGGGTGGATAAGATTGCCCTTGCATGCCAAGGCCTGCTGGAGTGCCAGTTTCCCGTGCTCGCACTGCGCAGGTGCGATCATTGCCTGAGGCTCAGGTATCACCGGTGCCCGGTGCTGCTTGATTTGGTGAGTTTTCAAGTCGCCAGGTCTCCAGCACTGACTGCCCGAACAAGCGTACCTTCGGCTTTTCTAAGCGCCTGCATGCACGAGAGGGTCATGTCATGCCACCTCAAAGACAGGTTACGCTTGGACCAGTGCGGATTATGTCGCCGCCGCGGCCTCATGCGGCCAAACTTAGCAGAACTTTCCGAGTCCTCACCCCATGGAGAGCTGCTCTCTGAGGCACGCATCACATGTTCCGTTATCCCCACAGCCATCGCCAATCAAGCCGATTGCAGCGCCAAGACTGACACTTGCCTCGAATATGTTCGAGGAGCTACCGAAACGAGAGCGTGGAAACTTCGGCAATGGTTCAATGCCGACGCGGTTGCGTTGTTGCCTTCAGAGCCTGCAATGTTGAGATGTCGATGCAAAGATCGCATGCGTCGGATCCAGCCTGTAGCAGTTGAAGCCTAACGCAAGGCACAAGCACAGATCTAAGGAGCGTGCAGCAGCCAGTCACATTGTTGCCACGCAGCGAATTGACAGCGTGGTTGTCTGCTGTTGCGGCCTCAGCACAAGATACCGCTATATGTTGCACAGTTCAAACCTGCAGCTAGATTCAGGCGCGAAATTTTGTTATTAACACAGACTTCGATGTGGGACCGTTGCTCGTCATGCCGGCATGAAATTGGATTGCGTCTGCTTGGTGTGTGCAGTGAGAGTATGTATATACGTAGTTTTAGCTTGATAGATGGACGGGTCGGTAAATAGGTCGGTAGGAGGTTTTTCGCGATGGATAGCGATTAGTCAGAAGTGGCCATTATCACCATGCTAGATGTTGCACTGCGGCCAGGCGGACCGGAAGAGAAGTATCACGGAGCTGATGAACGTTATGAAGGCTGGAAGAAGCCACAGTCTTGCGTTTTCAGAAGTCTGGCGAAGCCTTCACGCTACAGATTGGTCGCTGTGGTCGCTGCTGTCTGTCTATGTGCATGCAGCTCATGTTGCTCAGGCAAACAGCGGTGGAAAGGGAACCATACAGGCCGATGGTATCAATCGCAGTGGCGACTTGCCACATGTGTGGTTTCCTTGAGGCACTGGGAGACAAAATTATCTTGAGCAAACTGTTGGAGAATCTTGGTGTTCCGCAGATGCCAGTGCTGGGGCCCCAGCATCCTGCAGCTCTTTGCATGTGCGTCCAAGTCTCGCGTGCGTACGGGAGCACGAGGCTGCTCTCTACGTACACCAAAGTGAACAAGGCAGAGGTGAGCTGGCAACAGTTCAACACTTCGGAATGTGTCTACACGTTTGATTCTGCGTGTACACTGTAAGGTCGAAAAACTTGTTGAAACCTGGACACAGAGCAGTGATCCGGATGCCTACGACGTCGTCGTCAAGCCGTTGCGGCCCAGCTTTCCCTGCTGAATATCGAGCTTCAAACGTGCTTGGTGTAGTTTGATGCGGACTGTCTGTCAAGGACTCATCTTAGCAGCGCAACGGGTGCTGTGATAATGTCAAAGCCCAAGTGGGAAAAGGCCTTCGGAAGTGGACGGAAGTTCTGCCTCCGCAGCTGGAGTCAGTTGCCTGCGCAGGAGCAGTGGAGTGCTCAGAAGCTCATTGAGCACATGGAGACTTTCTTAGAGAAGAAGGCAGCCGACAGCGAGAGCGAGGTGCGATGGCTCAGACACCGCGAGATGTAAACAGATGTCGTATTTGCCTGTCGAAAGCATCATCCGACCAAAGCACTATGTCACTATGTCCACCCCTAGCGAGCGCAATACCCATGGCCATCTCAATTGTGCACGGGAGACCACGACGTCTGCATGCTCTGTGCATGCTCGAGGGCTGCCAGGTTCGTAAACAGTACATCCCTCGAAACCAAAGGGAAGCAGGGGCCCAACTCCAACCACTCTGCCCAACAATTGCCTGCCCTAGTACGCACAAGCGGTTGCGAGGTAAGAGGCGGCAGCAGCCAACGCTCTCAACGAAAGCACATGTTTTGTGCCTCCCACATCCTTCGGGCAAGTTGGACTCTCCGACTAGATTCGTTGCTCCACCGCTTCGCTCGCAAATTAACTAGCCAATGATTCCTTGCTCAAACCAAGAACATGCTGTGCAGCTGACCATGAGAGCTACCACTCGGGGTACAAGAAGGTGTCTGTAGCAATGGCACAGTTGGCTGCGGTGGCAGGAACATGCTTTGTTGCGGAAGCGGTGTGGATATCGGGGTTTCAGAGGATGGATTGCTTAAGACTTGCGGGTATTCTCTACCATGCTTCAGGAGCCTTTTCCATGAGCATGTTCTGGGAAGTGACGTATAGACCGAGCTGTGACCAAGCTGTAGCAGAGATGTAACGGAGCTGGACCAGAGCACCGGAGCTGTAACGAAGCTGTAGCGAGATGTAGCGGGAGCTCTAGACTTCGGCATCCTGCAGCAGTTTTTTGCTACACATTGGTGCAGCTGCTGAACGTGGGCAGCAATAAATACTTTTCGTGCTTCCATGTACATGGCCGACATTCGATGATGTAAGTTATCGTCTCGGCAGTCGGTCCGCTCACCACAGGTGTCGAAGCAAAGTCTAACTTTGCAGATTGGCGTTTGGGTGCATCTCGTCGATGCATCCATGATGCTTCGCACAGATTTCTTGGTCATGATTCGTGCCGGATGCTTGTAGGAGCCCACATGTGCCATCTCACAGTCAGACCTTGCGCTTGTAAGCGCTGCTGCTGCCGCAGCTCGTGGGCACAGAGCCCTCACCGTCGGATGATGTCGCATGTCGAACGGTCGCCGGTCAGTGTGCTTGTTGTCGAAAAGGTCCGGCATGATGACAAATACCCTCAGTTTGGGAAGGCTCTCAAGTCGCTTGTTCCTGGTTTTGTTATCCAGCCGCAGGGCCCCGAGAACCTTCCAAGAGGCTGTCCGCAAGTGGTTCAGAGCATGCGCTGCTAAGGCGATACCGCTCGTCGGTCGGCTTCAATTTTCCGCTGGAGCTGCGAGTTGTAACTATCTGGGGCAAGGCGCGACCCCATGCGGAACAGGTGAATTTGTCGTTGACTAATGGGAGGGTTCCATAATTCACTGGGCCTGTACAGCTGATTTTTGTCACACCTAGCAAGTTGCTGTTGACAAACGCACATTACTTGCAGGCACGCGTGGGAATTTGGTGGTTAGGAGCTCAGCGAATGTTTGCCAAACTGCTGCCGGCGATCCGATTTGACTTCAGGTGGGGCCGCGTTGCAGATCCGAAAGGGAAGCGAACCACTTGGTTGGTTTGGCCCTTGTGTCTCCAGTGCATGTGCCGTTTCAAGACATGTTCATGTTCTTTTAAAATCTGCCAGCTTGAAGGACAGTCGGCTGCTGTAGGAATGTTGCGACACATGTCCGACCCACCTTCGAGGTGCGGGTACCGAGAATTGCTGGTCAACTTTCAGACGATGATGGCTGGGAGGCATGGGGCCCCGGGTGAGGGTGGGAGCAAGGTTTCATGCATAGGTCCTAGGTGATGACTCACAAACGGAGAGCTGGATGCGGCCTTGGTCGTGCTCCACAACATTCGTGCACCAACATCACCGGAGTTACGTTGCCTGATGGGTTGCACGATGAGGGCCTTGGCATAGCAGCTTCCGCAATCATCTGGTCTGGAGTAGACTTCTTCTTGCTCTCGTAAGGCCAAAATAAGCAGCTCCGCGAATTGAGAGTTGACTTTGGACACTGCGACGATCGATCGACCGTATGAAATTCGACATCGATTCTGTCGGACAGCGAGTGACAGCATGGCAAATGGAGGCATGGAAGCGAAACCGATGCTTGCCAGACTTCATCAGGTGATCCACGAGCACGGAGGTCAAAACCGTGGCTTCGAGGCACTCGCTTCAACCAGATCTCTTTCGACTGTTTACCAACCCATGTCGCAGGTGTCGCTGAAGCTCTTTCGCGAAGCGATGCCGGCCATGCCTTGACCTCACAGACCCATTGAGCGGTACTGTCATCATACGTCTGGGCGTGTGTTTGCTTGATGAGTACTCGATGCTTGCTTGCCTACGCTCGCAGACACACTTTGGAACGAAGAAGGAAGCGCCAAGCAAAGCTCCTACTAGTAGAAGCCTTGTTGCGCCTTTCTGCTTGGGATTCCTCTAAGCATGCTCTCCCCCAAACGTTGCATCTTCTCTCCTTATCCCTGACGGCCCTAGCATGCGTCGAAGCAGTAGCTGTGGTCCAGCAGGTCGGCTGCAGCTGAGAATATTGCCACAGCTGTCGGCGCACCATTCTTGCGCAGAAGTCCCAGAGGTGGTGCGAGTGACAAGGCTGTGCTTTGTGTTGGCATGGTGACGATCGCAAACATGAGGTTCCGACTTCTTTGTCGGCAGCGAAGAGTTGCAAACCCAGCGTATGAAAGCTGAACATGATGTCGTGCCACGGGACCTGTGCCATTCAGAAATTCCCCCCGCACACACGCACACACATATCGTGAGGTGGGGAGTTCGCTTGAATGAAGTTGCTTATGGAAGCGGCAAGAAGCTCAGAGCACGGTTGAAGAAAGCCATGAAGAGACTTTGCTGTCCAGGGGTGGACTACAAGCGTCGCCTCCCTGGTGGCACCTCAAAGCAAACTCGCGGTGGTACTTGGGTCGGTGGGCCTGGGCCTGATTCAGAGGAGAGAAGAAGCTGACTGAGACCTCCAGAAAAAAGGGGGTGCTTTCTGTTTCGTTCCTGTCAAGGCTGGTTGACGACGGCCCAGCCATTGCAGAGATCATTCAGGCTCTCGGCTCTTCGGGCTTCCGCACAGACGTCAGCATCTTTCAAGATGGCTCAGGAGGGCTTCAGGCTTTGCCAGCGTAGACCGCCTGCAGAGTTTCTGAAAGTGTCGGACTCCAAGCAGCGGAATTCAAGCCCTCGAGCGACGAAGGAGGTCTAGGCAGGGTCGGGTGGGCTGCAGTGATTGCGAGAAGCTCAGGCTGGGAGCACGGACAGCGCTCTACGAGGCTTTTCTCAATCTCAGTTGTATTTAGTTGTAGGGCGAAGCCCTTCGAAGCAGGCACCCACAAGAGGGAGATCTCCAGACTCACGGCCAGCGGAGCCGCTCATGAAGGTCGAGGCTGTCCTTTGTCCGGTCAACACGTCTTCTCATGTCTGATCTTCAGTCTCATCCTGCCGTCGGCAAGGCCGTTCCACAAGAGAAGCGCTCAAGACAACTTCCGGATGATGCAGTGCCTCCCGCGCAAACATATCATGCAACCAGTGGCGCAAGGTTTCTCGACGGGTCGTATTGTGTTAATCGGAGGGCTCGCAACGGCAAGTCGTAACTGTACCGCAGCCGTTCGACTTAGGCGCATCCGTTCCGCAATCTGACGGTGTGCTAGCCTTTTCTTTAGTCTGTCACGGCTTGATGCCTTCTTCTTCTGACTCGTCCCGCTCCCGTCCTCGCCGACGGCGTAGGGCCCGGCGGTCCTCGAGTACATCTTCCTCATCTTCGAGGCTGTTTTTTCTGCTTAACTTTGCTGCCTCTTGACCCTTTCCGTCAGGCGGCCCCGGTCCCGCCTCTCCGCCAAGAGGCCGACCCCGCTGTTTTCCACTTCCCGCCTTGGCCCATATCTGGCTAAGGTCCTTCGGTGCTCAGCTCCGTTCCATCATGTATGGTCCCCAGCTGCATGCACCCTAATTGTTAGCTTCTCGTTGGCTCTTCTCAGGCCTGACCCGGCTTCTGGTCCGCCGGTCTCGCCCCCGAAGGCCGGCTTGCAAGCTGTTTCCGGTCCTGCTTTAGCTCTGGCTGGTTGTCTCGCCGTGCTCGAGCTACCCCTGCCTCCTGCCGCAGCCGCTTTTAGCTTCTAACGCTTTCTGCCTTCTCTGCCTTTCGCCCTTGCTAATCATGGCCCGCTTTGGTGGACACGCTCTCCGCGACTTGGCCCGCGGCGTGGTGGGAGCTGCCGTTGGCATCCGGTCCGACGTCGACCCGACTCCGGCCGATGTCGAGGCCCAGGCCGTCCCAACGGAGACCCCGGCACAGGACACTACCGTGGCTCCGGACCCGGCCCCCTCCGTGGATCCACCTGCCACCCCGTCCCAGCCCCCGGCCAAGCGTGGTGCCGATTTTCTCGCGCCCCAAAAGCAGCCTCCCAGCCACCCCCCTACGACTGGTGGCCTGCCCGCTGCTCCCGCCCAACCCCCTAAGAAGAAAGCCAGCTTTCCTCCGGCCCGGCCTTCCACCCCCTCTTTCCCCCCCCGCCAAGCCGGCGGCTGCTCCATCCGAAGCGGCTCCCAAGGCTCCTGCGGCAACTGCCAAGGCTGCTCCGCCGCCCCTCGAGATGGACCTGTCCGTTCTTTGCACTCTGGACGATGATGCCATCTACCGGTCCCTGGCCGACTTGCCACCGTCCCAGGTGACTCGACTGCTTTGTTTGATCGCGGAGGTCGCCCAGGACGTCACCTATGCCATGGGCAACCTGGGGCAGCTTGACGTCGAGGTTCCGGTCGCGCACATGTCCCAGACCGGCCCGCCTCCGAACCGAGGACGCTACCCGCAGACTACGCGTGGTGACCTCGCACCGGTGCCGGCCGGTCCGCGCTTTCCGGACCAACAGGCAGCTGACGCCATCCATGCCGGTCTGGACCAGAACGATGGCACCAGGCCCGCCGATGGCAACTCGGCCCAGCCGACCCCCCCCGGTGCTGGTGGTGATTCCGGTGGCCTCCGTGTCCTGCCCGGTTTCGCCCGCCCGCGCCAGGCCCTCCTTACGGACACATCGGCCATCGACCCGAATGCGCCCCTGGTCCACTCTGATCCCAACCGCCCCGGCTGCACTCCGGTCTTTGTGGATCGGGGCCAACTCACCCCGCGCCGGGCCAATACCGGCCCCTGGACTATCAGCGAAGGCTGGGAGCGCCTGAGCATTTTCCTGCCCGAGACGCCCGGCCCGTTCATCCGCACGGACTCCTGGCCCTGGCCCGACCTCTTTTGCTTTGAGGAGCAGGACTTGCCAAGCTGGGCTCCTCTTCAGGAGCCTCCATCGGTTTTGTCTCACCTGCACATTCGCGGCTACTGCTCGCATGATTGTCCGGCCCGGGGCCCGCATTGCCTCCGCATTTGCCTCCGGCCCGTGATGTTGCATTCCCGGACCGATCACACCGGGCACAAATGCCCTTACTGTATCCAGGACGGGTACTAGGCACCTGATCCGGACCGCCCCGCGTTCCCCGTGTTTTTTATGGCCCATATTGCAACTAGTCTCCTAAGATCATTGTGTTGGGGTGGTCCGCTAGGCCCGGTGCTATGCACTTTTCTGCTTCTCGCGGCCGGCCTGATCCGGCCCCGCTGCGGCGATGCCTAAAAAGTTGTGGTTCCCCGCCTTGCTGCACCTGCCTGCTGCTTTCAGAGACATGTTGCTTTTGTTTTTTCCTGCCGCCAGGCCAACATCGAGCTGGAGACCATCGAGGATGCGCCGGTCTCTTTCTTGCGCGTTGTTCCGCTATTTGTTGCTTACCCTGCCCGGCCAGGTACCTGTGCATCCGCCGGTGGCCCCTGCGGGCAACCCGGCCTTGGCATCTGACCTTGGTTCCTTGCTTCACGGCTTTCCTTTGCAGCCCTCCGCTGCCGCTCCTCTGATCACACCGCCCCGCCCGCAGCGGTTGGATTTTTTGGGCGACACCTCCCCGCGTCAATGCGATTCTCCGGCCTCGGCCCCTGGGCCCTCGGCACCGCCTCATTCCAGCCCTTCTTCGGCATCCTCTACATCCTTTCAGGTCGTGCCGGTCCCTACTGCTCACCCGGTCGGTCCTCCCTTACCTGGACTTGCATCCTTGCTTGTGCCTCGCCTTGGGCTGGCCTTGCCCTGCCTGTCCCCTGCCTCTTTGTCAGACCTGGCTGCTCGCCCCCGGCCCGCTCGGCCTCGGCCTGCCCCCTTTCCCTTGTTCCGGCCTCTTCGCTGCCCGGCTTTGCGTCCTGCACGTTCGGCTCCTACGTTTCCATTGGGCCCACCACTTCTGTCCTGCCCCCGGGTGCCTCGCCTGCCCCGTGACCCATTGGCGTACCCCCGGGGTATTTCTGCCTCATCTCCGGATACGCGGCCCTCTGTGATTCCCCCGGCGCCCTTCGTGCATTCTGGCTTTTTGCCACTGGCTACTGATGCCTCCGATTCCTCCTCTATGGAATCCACAACTGCTCGCGCCTTGGCACATTTCCGCAACATGTTTTGCGACTTTGTTCGGGAGCTTGGCGACCGCTGCACCCTGTTTTTGCATACCAAGCTGGTACCCGCGCCTCGGGAACTCCAAGCACGTGCCATCGCGAAAAATGCCCCCAGCACTTTGCAGCTTTACTTGCGCTCCTGGTCTGCCTGGGTCCGGCACTGTATCCTTTCTGGGATTGATCCTGCCGACCCGCCGCCCGGTGCACTCCCGTCCTGGCTTCAGTTGACTTCCGCCCCTTCTGGCCTCTCTACCACCAGTTTCAAGGCCTTGAGTTGGATGGCCAAGGTGGCGGGTTTGCCATCTATACAGGTACAGTTGCACACTCCGCTCTGCTCCGCGTTTCTCTCCTCGACCGGCCCGGTGGAAAAGCGTGAAGCATTGCCTCTTTCCGTGTCCTTTGTCGTCTGGCTCGAACGGTCCGTCATGGATCCCACGACTCTGCTTGCCGAGGTCCTGCTTCGGGGGTCGGTCCTGTGCCTGATTTGGTCGTCTCTTCGTTGGAACGACGGCCTTTGGTCTCCCCCGTCCCGGGTGATACTGCAATCCGGCTCCACTGCCCTGACCGGTGTCGCCGCCCGCACTAAAAGCTGCCGGGCCAACATGCCGTGGGGTTGCCAGCTCTACGGGTTGACGGGCTCGCCGTCCGCTTGTTGGGGCATATCCTGGCTTAACGCCCTTCAGCAGTGCCTGTCCGACACCAAACGCATGTTCCCGGACCGCACGGTGGATTTCTTGCTTCCGGTCCTCGGGCCTGACCCTGCCTCTCCGGTGCCTTGCACCGGTCCCGCGCCATGCCCTGGCTCCGGGCCCTCCTGCAAGAACACTGGCACCTGCACTCCCCCGAGGCCTGCCCGCCTGAGCACTCCATGTATGGGGTTCACAGCTGCAAGGCCACTGTCCTATCCTGGGCCAGGCAGCTTAACCTTGACCCTGAGCTTCGCCGTCTGCAAGGCCATCACCGTCCGTCCTCCATGGAAGGCTCCGTTCGGGTCTATAGCCGAGACGATATAGGCCCAATGTTATCGTTGCAGGCTGAGGTCATTAACCGAATCCGGTCCGGTTACCGCCCCCTTCAGCCAGTCGGCCGCGGTTTTAGCAAACCATTGCCTGACTTTCGGGTGTCCTTGCCGCCACCTGATAGCAACATGGGTGGCATGGCACCTCGGGAACGCTCTGGCCGATCGCGCTCCCCCCGGCGCCGTCCGGAGCCGGATGAAGAGGAAGTGGAAAGCACTGACCTCTCCGATGACAGCTCCGACTCCGAACAATCCGGGGCCTCGGGTTCGGACGATGACTTTGCCAAGCCTCGGCCCCCTCGCTCCCAACAGCGAGAGCCCAGCATGAATGGATTTCTGCATAACCCTCGCAGCAACGTCTTGCACCGTCCCGTTCCGTGCCCGCCCGACACTGCAAAGTCGGTACGCGTGTCTCTGCTGGGCCTGGAACCATTTTGGGTGAAACCGGCCTGTGGGGCCTCTGTTGGTCAGCTCTGCTCTGAGGCATGGTGCTCCGCCCCGCCTGCGGGTGCCCAGCTCTGCCTCCGCCGCGCCTGCCAGACCTGATCTCCCGCCCCGCTGTGAAGAAAATGCATACGCATGTGCCAGCTCGTGCCAGTTCCATGCGCCTGTGCTCACACTTGCTTGCACTGTCTTTCTTCCGCAGCCGTTTTCTGTTTCAGCCAGCCCCGCCCCAACCCCCCTTTATTGTCGCCATCTTCCGCCATGGCTTCTGATGGTTATCCGTCGACTGGGCCTGGGGACCGTCCGGTTCGAGCGGCCTGGGACCGTGATGGCGCGGTTCTCCTGCCGTCTGCTCCGGAACTGCAAGACCTGGAAGATTTTACCGACCAGCAACTCCTTGACCTCTTGCGCCGCTGCTCGGTCAGCTTCCTGGCCCGACTGGTCCGTCTCTGTGGGAGCATCCTGCGACCGCCCCGGGTCGTGATCTACTGCCAACTGCCATGTGTCAATCCGGAATGTCCACAAGTGTGTGGCCGTCAGGTGGATCCGACCCGCAGACGCCAGCATCAGAATCACGCGTGCCGCGTATGCCACCGCTTCGGATGGTAGCTCAGCGGCTGCATACCAGGGGACTGGCCGGAGGCCGCCGGGCCCCCCCATATTACTCCGCACCTGGACGGTGCTATTCACCGGCGTGGACGGTCGGTGGGGAAAAAAACCTGGACTCGGCCCTGCTCCCGTGTTTGCTGGGATTGCCTGCCTCTGTCCGCTTCTTACTGCCTCCGTCCCGCTGCCATTTTCAGGCTCTTAGGATCAGGGTAGGCCGTCAGCTTGGACTTTTCCTGTGTCATCCTGGACTTTTTGCTCCTCCGACATGTCTAGTTCTGGCACACCCGCCTTTGACGATCCTGCTGCGTTGGTTGCCCTGCTCCGGCAATGGTCTGCTCCTGATGAACTTCTGGAGGTCCTGACTGTCAAGGGTTTCAAGACCATCGCGACCATTGCCTATGCTATCCCTCCGGATGGCTCCCCTGACGACTGGATTCGCGTCTTGTGGCCTCCGGCAGACCCCAACGACACCTCGGCCAGGATCACACCATCTGCCAGTTTTGCACGACGCCTTCTGGTGCAGGCGCGCGACCTGGTGCATCCGGCACCTGCCCCGTCGACCCCTGCCTCTGCAAAAATCACGGCCGAAGCGGCGGAGCTGCTGCGTCAAAAGTTCATTGAGGCCTATCCGGGAGAAATCCTCTCCCCGTCCAACACACCCAGTTTGGAATTTCTCAACCGCCTCCGCTCTGAGTTGGACAAGCCAACAACCCTGTGGATTCCGTGGCGCTTGAGGACATCTGAGCATGACGTTCAGACGTTCTATGAACATCGCCGACCCAGGTCGGACAACCAGCTCCTCCGCTCCTTATTGGATGATGTTCCGGACCCGGTTGTGGCTCACGCGTCCGTGCCTAATTCAGGTCCCGTTGAGCCCCTGCTTCGCCGCCACTTTGGAATTCTGGTCACGGCCTTGGCTTTCCTGGGTGACCTGCGCCTCCGTATCGGCAAGATTTTTGCTGAGTCTTTCATTGCATCCGCTACGGCTGTCCCTCTGGATCCTTCCCTCCGGGCACCATCTCTGCAAGAAGTACTCGCAGCCGACCGGTCCATCTGGGCTGCCGTTGGCACACTGATGCGAGATGAGAAGTGGTCGCTGGCTGATTCCATTCATGAGGTTTCCGTCACCCGGCACATGATTCCGACTTTGTTGTGTGCCCGGCCTCGGTCCATGCCGGCCCCTCCGGTCCGGGAACCCACCCGCACTGGGGGTACGGCCGACACGTCACAGCCAGCTAAGCCTGACCGGCCCACGAAGCGTCTCAAAACCGATGGCAAACCGGAAAAACCGACCGGCAAAGCCAAAGCAGATGCCAAAAAGCCGGCCGGCAAGAAACCCGTCAAGGATCTGTGGGAAGAGTCGTGGCATGAGGTGGACGAGAATGGCAAGGAAATTTGCAAACGCTTTGTGCTCGGCCGTTGCAAATTGGATTCCTGCCGCTTTTCGCATTCCTGTCCGATTCCGCTCCCTTCCGGCAAACCCTGCGGCCAGAAACACACGGCTGCCAAACACCGCGCCACATCGCACTGAAACGCGGATGCAGCTGAACCCCTGTCGGCCATGGCTCCGCCGTTGCAAGGCTCGTCCCCTGATGCCCTGGCCGATGAAGCCGTGCGTATTTTCTCCTCTGATGAGGAGATGTCAAATCACGCCCCGGCTGAGTCCGTGGCTCAGGCGGCCCCTGCCTCGGCGTCGGTCCGACTCAGAAGTCGCTCGCCGCACCGCCCGGTTCTCCGATACTCCTTCTCCTTTGCCCGCCCACCCTCTCAAGGGGCCCGTCCTGGCCTGCATCCCCCCTCCCCGTGTGCACGCCCTGCCAAGGAGACAGCTCCATCCTTGGATCGGGCCCCCCCTTCCACTTCCCCAGCCGATCCTCCGGCTCGCCCGGCACTGTTTCTGGACTTGTTCTCAGGCTGCTCGGCCCCGCTCTCTAAAGCAGTTTCCAATCTTGGCCTCGACCGCATTGCCCCTATAGACGTGCTTCATGGGGAACAGGTGGACTTGCTTCTGCCACAGCATCAGTCGTCCATGCGGAAATTGTGCTCGTCTGGCCTCGTGCGTGTGGCTGTTGCTGCCCCACCCTGCTCCAGCTTTAGCCGTGCACGCCTTAAACCCGGTGGCCCGCCTGCAGTCCGGACACCAGCACACCCTCACGGCATTCCCGCTCCTTCCCAGCGCCAGCAGGCTGAACTGCAATGTTCCGACAAGCTGCACGAGCTCTGTCGGGAGCTCCTCACTCTCGTGCTTCTCTCGGGCGGTCTGGTTATTCTTGAAAACCCATCTAGCAGCTTGTTGTGGCTCACCGACCCGTGCAAAGCGTGGATCCGTCATCACTGTCTGTCCGCCGTGGAAGTTGCCGCTTGCAATTTTGGCATGAATGCTAAAAAGAGCTGGACTTTTGTCTCAAACTTGGCGGACCTCTCCTCTCTGGCCTCGACCTGCTGCCACCCGCCTGGCACTCACCCGCCTTTGACAGGCAAGCGTGACTCGTCCGGTGCCTTCCTTACACGGACCACTGCCTGCTACCCGGACGGTCTCTGCGAGCGCGTTGCGGCACTGATGGCACCATATCTCACCCGGTCTGTGGGCCCAGTCCCGTTCCTCTCCTGGGAAACGGCTCTTCTTGAGCCTCATCTCTGCTGGCCACTTCCCTCCTCCCGGATTGAAGATGGTGCAGGTTCGTGCTCCACTGCTTCCTGGTCCAAACCGTCCGGCCCCGACACCTTTGGCCCCCTGCGCAAACTCTGGGTTCAGCGCATCCTTTCCGGGGATTTCCTTGCCAAGTTTCGCGCTCGGCTGGCATCCGGCTCCAAGGATGCCCCGATTTCTGAGTCCGAACTGGTACCTTTCTTGGGTGACCTGCGCTCCTTCCTGGGTCTGGCGGCTACTGACTTTGATACACTCCTTTCGGTCCCTCCGGGCCAACCGTTCCGCCTGTTCCTCCTGGATGCGCTGCTCCAGCTCTCGCGCGATCCGGATCGACCCTTTGTGGACTTGCTACTTGAGGGAGTTCCTCTTGGTGTTGACGAACCTATGCCTGCCTGCCCTACGCTGTTCCCTGCTTCCGCCCCCAAGGACCCATCCATGGACTTACAGCATTGTTCCTCCTCCTGGGGATCAGCTCTTTCCGACCTGTCCACTGTTGACTCCCTTCTTCAAACCGAAGTTTCTGAAGGATGGGTGCGGGAGGTTCCAGGCGGTCTTGACAGCCTCACCGCCACCTATGCTCGTACAGCCGTGGGGAAGCTTGGACTTGTTAAGGCCCCCGACCGTGACCCCCGCCTGGTGGTGGATTCCAGCGTTTCCGGTGTTACAGAACACACCGCTCTTCCCAATAAGTCTGCGAACCCGACCATCTCGGGCCTCCGTCGCTGCTTTCCTCTCCGTCTGGCCCTGGAACAGCTCTTCGCACTTATCCTGGATGTCAGCAAGGCTCATCGGCGCATACTGATCCGGGCCGCCGATCAAGGCCTTCTTTGCTTTTTCCACCGCGGCCGCCTATTCCAGTGTCTGACATTGAATTTCGGTGCACGCGCGTCTGGCTTTTACTGGGCACGTTTGGCGGGGATCCTGTCACGCCTCATGCATCGGCTTCTGTTCATCCGCCATGCCTTGCTTATCTATGTCGATGACCTGATCTCCCTCCTTTCCGGTCCGTCCGCGCCGGTTTGGGCCGCTGTGCTTTGTGTGTTCCTTCTTGTGCTTCGTGTCCCAATGAGTTGGCACAAAGCCTACTTGGGCGCACGGCCGACTTGGATTGGTTGGTCCATGTCCTTGGAAACCTTTACCGCCACGCTTGAACCACCGAAGTTGGCCCGTCTCCGCCTTCTGATTTCTTCAGCTCGTTCCGGGGAGGCGATTCCACTACACCTGCTTCGCAAACTCACCGGCAAACTTCTTTGGGTTTGTTCCCTGTTTCGTCCATTCCGGCCGTCCCTTGCACCGCTTTATCGGGACCAAAGCCTACCTCCACTTGTTCACGTTGCTGTGGCCCTCTCCAAGTGGGAATCCTTCCGTGCAGCCCTGTCCAAAGACCTCGTGCTCACGAAATCTGTTGGTCTGGCTAGTTGCCCCCAGGGCTGCACCCTGGTCAGTGTGGCCTCCCGTGCTGTTCATACACTGAAGGATGTTCCTCTCCACTTTGCCGGTGAGCGACGACTCTGGATCTCTGTCCGCTCCCCTCCTGACTCCGACCGGAAGCTCTCACAGGAATCTAAAGCTGTCTTGGACCTTTGGCACTCCTGCCTGTGTCAGTCCATCCCGCTCTTCCCGCTGTCTCTCGCTCCACTGTTGACTTGCGAGGCGTTTGCTGACGCCTGTGCCGACAGCAAACACGCGGGCCTGGGCGGCTTCGTGGCCTTTCCCTCCGGCCGCACGGTATGGTTCCGCTCCGCCTTATCGCCTGCGGAGCTTGCTCGACTTTGTGCTTGGTATTCTCCTGACATTTCCCCTCAGAAATTCATTGCTGCCTGGGAACTCCTTGGCCAAATCGCGCTTCTGTGGTGCGTTGCCCTCGTTGTCCCGGCCGCTCACCACCCTGTTCACTTCGTCAGCCGCTGTGACAACAGCCCTTCCGAATCGGCCTCCTGGAAAGGCCTTTCTACTGCCCGCGGTATGTGTGACCTCTTGCACTCCTACCTGTTATGGCAGCGTCATTTCTGCATTTCCGCACATATCGACCATGTTCCGGGGTTCCGTAACAAAATTGCTGACGCCCTGAGCCGATCCCGCGACCCGGGCACCTTGGGACTCAATCCTGCCGATGAGATCCTGGTCCCTTGGCATCTGTTGAGCCGTCCTCCGCGCCCGTGTTACTCTCCTGCGTCCGCCTTCAACCGTGACCTCTTCCCGGCATTGGACTTCTGACTTTGGCGGTTTTCTCCCCGGTGCGGGTACTCCTTTGCCTGGATTTCGTTCTAGACCTTGGCCTCAGAAAACCTGCAAAGTCCATTTTGGCACCCGGTTCCGACGGTTCCTGTCCCGACCGGTGCCCGTACCGATCCGTAGCAGCACCCTTTGGACTTGTGTCCGGCCCGAGGCTCTGACACAGATCCAGACCGCTACGGTTTCAGCCATCCGGAAAAAGGAGTCCGTCTGCATTTTTCCGTGCATGCACACCGATCGTAACAGACTAGTGCCCTCCGAATAACGGTTTCTCGACGGGTCGTATTGTGTTAATCGGAGGGCTCGCAACGGCAAGTCGTAACTGTACCGCAGCCGTTCGACTTAGGCGCATCCGTTCCGCAATCTGACGGTGTGCTAGCCTTTTCTTTCCCGCCACCTCCCCTTTGTTCTCCGCCTTGGATTTAGGCCCTTTAATCCGCAGCTTTCAGCCTGGATTTCCGATGTGGGTTGGACTTTGCCCTTTCCTGCACGCCGTAGGCCGGCCTCAGAAAACCTGCAAAGTCCATTTTGGCACCCGGTTCCGACGGTTCCTGTCCCGACCGGTGCCCGTACCGATCCGTAGCAGCACCCTTTGGACTTGTGTCCGGCCCGAGGCTCTGACACAGATCCAGACCGCTACGGTTTCAGCCATCCGGAAAAAGGAGTCCGTCTGCATTTTTCCGTGCATGCACACCGATCGTAACGGACTAGTTCCCTCCGAATAACCATGTAATATCTTGGGATGGGGGGATTTGGGTGGGCATGCACTGCCTTCACAAGTCTTCAAAGCCACATCCAGCCTCCACGCCCCCACTACATCCCGCTGATTTGGAATTCCGAACTGACAGTCCGCAGACCTGCTCCGCCAATCTGATAACCCTGACCTCGGTACACATCGAAGTAACGACAGTTGACAGACTCCAAAGTAGTGCAATCTTAACTTTCGTTCTTTAGGGAGGAGCAAGCAAAATCCGATGGCGCAAATCCCCGTCGGGTCATCACCCGCCGACATTGCAACTGCCTTTCGGATTTTCTCCCGAAGATAGCATGACCGGCAGCGCAGGTACGGGACCTCATCGGTCTTTACAAGAGTCCCGGTAACATGCTTTCACAAACTGGGTCTTCTCCTCAGAATGGGCACTTGCAGAGATCACTAGCCGAGATACGGCCGTGTCAGTGTGATCGACGAGGGTTGTCAAGCCTCCCGCAAATCAATATTGGGATGCTGCAGCATGCCACTGTCTGGCTGCCTGGTACGAGCGTGTGCTTTGTTGGATGCTGCTGTCAAGTATCGAGATGCCAAAACGACTAGTGAATAGCAGTAGAGTCCCCGCAAAGTATACACACAGATACAGTCGCCGGATGGGACGTGGTAGAGTGAGAGTTAGTGAGAGAATCTTTCGTGCCATCTGTTGACTCGAGGCAAGTTCAGGCATCAAGCTGCGAGACTCAGCCAGCACAAGACATACCGAGTGTTCCTTCCTCAGAAAGCTTGAGTAAATCAGTGTCAGCGTCGACGCCCGCCTGAAGCGTTTTTTTTTCTGAGGCCGGACATGCAGGGCTCAGCGCTCGAGGTGGAGCTTACCCTCGAGACCTTGGCTCAGTGGGAATGTCGGACAGCGTCGTTCCAGTTTTTCGGGTTCAGCAACATGGTCGAAGATGCTATCAGGTTGTGCAGTGTTTTTCTCCAGGCGGGGAGTCAAAACAAATTCACTTCATCACGGCTTCAGCGACTTCATGACTTCAATGACTTTCATTTGCAAGGCCTGTCGCAGGGTCCCCCTTCCTTCCAGCCGAGACCGATGTGGAGACCATCACTGGTCCCAGCCTCAGCCTGTCGGTCACGCCACAAGAGGGAAGACTAGCCTTTGGTCAGAGAAACCTGTTGAATTCTTGATGCCAGCCCTCGGTGCCTTCCTTCGTGGCCGCGCCAGCGGTAGTGCCAGCACCAGTGGTGGCTCCGCCGCTGGTAAAGCAGACGTGCTTGTCTCAGATTGCATATTGATTACGATTCTATGTTCTACCTCTTCAGAACAACATTTGCATCCGCAAGCGTCTGTGCTTCTCGTCGTCGGAACACGGCTACATAGGCATAAAAAGGTAGACAAGGTTGAGCAATGCGTTGGACAGGCCATACAAGACAGTCCTTGCACCGGCAAGCCCGATGCCTCGACGCGAGGCCGAGTGCGATCTGTCTTGCGAGTGCAGAGCTGGTGAAGTGAGAGAACGGTGTACTGGCTTCCGCTGTTGATCGACCGGGCTTTCCACTGTTCCCTCCGCGTGCGGGCGAGAGCATCATTTAAAGTGCTTTGGCGGGATCGGTGTGAGACACGTTTTCCCGCGCGATGTGGACTCCAGCCAAAAATTCTCGCCCACTGATGCTGGTGCACTTTTGCCCAGAATACCGTAGTTGGAAGGGAAGGCTAAAACCGCGTGTAAAACCGACATCGATTTCGACAGGGCCCGCCCCAAACGATGCCTTCGAGCGGTTACCACGACGGCTTAGCCTGATCTAAAGGCTGACGCCGCATCCTCGCACAGGAACTCTGCGCATGTGGTTAGGGGCATGGGGGCCCAGACACCTGCGTGTGAGGATAGCTTCCGTCTTTTGTGCGGAATAAGAACGAAGAAGGAGAGTGGGGAGTTTGAAGGAAGGGCGTAGGAGAGCTCTGGTGCAGGTGAGTGTGGCCACTTGGAGACCTATGCCGCCTTCTCAGTTTACTCCTACATCTCCTAGCCTGGCCCTGCCCCAAAGCACGAAATCAAAGTCATGCGAGGCAGGCCTGTTCAATCACTGCCAGTGTCTCCCCTCACGGAAGAGGACGGCGTGATTGTGTAAAGTGGTCATGTCCTTCAAGTTGACAGCTGTAGCCAGGAGTCGTCAACCACCGGACGAGCTTCAGTCAGCTCCTCGTGAGTTGCGAGCGTATGTATGCGATAGGTATGAGTGGGTATGAACATAATGATGGTAAAGGTGAGGCTGTTGACTTACATTCATCGTTCTCTGAATCGCTGGCAGAGAACGTTGGGCAAGATCGTATGCGAAGGAGTGTCGATAAAGCAAAATGAGGTCTCTGCGGATCGACACGCGGCCTGCCGCCAGATGTCGCTCGCTGGGTTGCCGTAGATGGCCTCGCAACTCCGCTCTAGACTATGTATTTCGCTAATGCAACACAAAGTCTCACTTCTCCCTTGGAGGTGTGTTGGATGCAGTCGTCTCTGTACATTTCTAGATTGTAGATGTCTTTGTCCTGTCCTCGAAATGCTACAAGAGTAGTCAAAGTCAGAGGATGCGCCTCCAAGCTTCATCTTATCATGGAAGCACAGGCGACCAACTGATAGAGCAGGTGATTCCATCGCACGCATGCTGGCTTGCTTGCTGAAGCGAAACGACATGTATCGCGCAAGGCAATTGGCTTGTAGCATGGACAGCCCATGCGATGGATGTTCGAAAATGAACCATGCAGGGGTGGCAAGAGTCATCAGGAGACTGGTGAGTCTTCCCGCCCTTGAAGCTAATGCGATTGCTGCTTTCAGGCACTGCAAAGCAGTTGCTTTGCGGAGGCGGCAGATTGCAGGAACTTCACAGAAAGCATTTTCCACATGCTCGGCCCGGAGCTATCATGGATGCTAGGAGTTGTTACAGTTGTTGAGCTCAAAAACGCGGCTTCAAGCTGTTGGCACTTCGAAACAACTCCCATCCTGAATTCGCGGGAGGATGCGAAGACTCAAGCGACAGACCGCAGCTGCAAAACAGGGAGTGCTCGCGCTTGGTGATCGCGATGCATTTGACGGCAGGCGGATGTTTGAGGGCTTGCAGCATCCTGAGCTTAGCAAACGAATGCTGGACTGGCAGCTTTCACACAGCAGGAAACTCTTTTGCAGAGTCTGATATTTTGGAGCGAGCGCATTTCACGGAGGCAGCATCAGCTTGAAATCCTGACGACAAGTGATCCAAACACGAGTAACGAGCAAGTTTTCAATATCCGAATGCGCGCAACAGCAGCAACAACACCAGCTTCAACAACAGCCAGACGACAACGACAGCCACAACTACAACGGGTGCTACAACAGCAACAGCAAGAGCTCCAAGAAAACAACGACAACTTTATCAGTAGCTTTTGCCGCCATGTCTCGGTGTTGGGCAATACGGGGGGCGCAGCAGGCTAGAAGTGTCCTTTTGTTTCTCTCAAAGCTTTTGGCCTGTGTCCGAATGGCTGGGAGTCTGGCCTTCCTTTTAGGGTTTAGGGTATAGGCCAAAGCTAAGGCAGCTCTCAGCTGTCTGTAGGTGAGGGTCTTTGCCATGCAATGCAGGGGGGCGAAGCAGCTGGGACTCAGGTAGAAGACAGACCAGAAGGGCCAGCAACCTCTTTGTATCATTAAGAATAAGAGTGGGACAAGGGACTCGGACCGTCAAGTTCCCAATAGTCTCAGGAGGCTTCAGCTCTTTCCATGTTTATGCTAGCGCATGGATTACTGTTGTGCGTTTTTGCTGTTTTCGGGGTCTTGGCGTGTTTGCTGTTTTCGGGGTCTTGGGTCTAGGGGGTGGGGGGGGGGCTGATAACGTCCACGTTGCCACCATCATCATGATCATCGTAATCATTGTCATCATTGTCATCATCATCGTCATCCTCGTCATCATCACGGCATGGTCATCGTTTACGTGCCGGTACTCACATCATCCCCGCATAAGGTTAGAGCTTGAGGGCCTCTTTTGAAATTCATTCGTGTGTAGCAGCAGCCAGGCTCGGCTTTTGGGGTTGAGACCACTCTCGCAGAAGCATCACGTGTACTGTCACACGTTCGGAGGCATGCTAGAAGCTAGCAGCTAGCAGCTTTTACATCCAGAGCTCCAGAGCAGCTATGCCTTTCGGGGCTTGGGTATGCACTCCCACATTTTGGAAGAAACCTGCAGACTCCGTCAAGCATCTTCTGACTAAGACCCTCCACACAACAATAACTACACAGTGCCCCAGCCAAAAAAAAACTACCCAAATCATAAAATTCGGACCCCTCCGAAAACAGCTGGTTCTAAGCCGAAAAACCGCCTAAATACCGAGGTCTTCCTGACCTGCAACGTCCGATGTGGCATTTATTTTTTTGGTTCCCCAAAATGTGGTGGGAACGCTACTTCACCACAAAATCCCCGACAAAAAACCATGCGGCGGGATGTTTATGAATCTTGCGACAACGAAGCGTAGCTTCGCTCAAAAAAACCCTGGCAATGCAACTGCAGTATGCACTCTGGCACGCACACTGTGGGCAAATGGACTTCGGATAGGATGCAGTGCCCTGAGAAAGGCATGGATCCTTTGGCTGATGCTTGGTTCCAGGCCTTTGCCGCCCAGCCGGCCCACAACTGCAAGCATCCTGACCCCCAACCCTGGAGGCCAGATGCCTACGAGGCAGCAGAGTGCACCTCGGTGCCGCTGGTCTGGAAGTTCATGGAGGTGCGCGGTCCTGGCTCCAAGTGCTTCGCGGGATGCAGTACACTGTGAACCTGGCACCAGGGCCTTCCCCCTGCCAAGCGTGCGGTCTTCATAGCCGGAAGCTCTGACGGGCTTGAAGGGCATTGGACCTGCCGCAGGGGAGTTCTTTGCATGTCATGTTCGCCCCAATGTGGAACACTAGGTTGGAGAGTACAACTTGCCGGAGTCGGCAGCACCTCTGCAGGGTGGACCTCTGTCCGAGGAGCACAGTGCAGTTTTGAAACCGGCTGGACGGTGACAACCACTTTCGTTCGTGGCAGGCACTCTCATGCGCTGATGTTGCATACTTCCCGACTGGATGCTCTTTGGTCCCTGCCTCAGTATGCTACATGCATGGTCGTCCTGAGACTGAAATGCATCTGGACTCGCATGGCTGCCGAGGCCGACACCAGCAACGTGACGGGTGTTGGAAATTTCATGGTCTTGCTTGGCGCGCTTCATCTTGCCAATACTGTGCAGTTTATCAGAGAGATAGTCGAGACAGGCCCACTGCTCGTACTACCCCGTCATACGGGAAAAGGAGCGAAATGCATTTTAGGTCACTTTCTGCAGCCTTGTGGTCGTAGTACCACGACCAGCAGGAAGGCATCTTTTGCATTAGCAAGCAGTGACAAACACTCACCTCTGGAGGATACGATTTCCGAGAGAGTTCCTCCGTCAACGCTGGAGACCGTCAAGGAGCCGTGATGCCGAAGCTGTGTTCGGTATAACTGTACCAGCTGTGCCTTGAACTTGCAAGTGACTCTTCAGGAACGCTTGGATCGGCTTCCTGATCTCGTGGAGCAGTGCCAGGGTTCATCTTCGGCCGTATCATTTAAGCAGAGCTGGACTCAGTTTCTGGGTTTGGCACATGCCTGGCTGCCTGGCTGTGCCAGCTCCTATTGGATGCACCCAGGTCTATAGCGACACTCACGAATGCAACCTTCCGTAAGACTTTGCTCAAAGTCTTCTATGAAGGCATCGTGCGACACAATCAGAGTAAATCAACTTGGAAAAATCCCTTTGCCAGGACTGCAGGCCATCAACCCAAACTGGTGCACTTCTACAGGCTCTGCTGGCATGTGCATGCGTCCTTCTTTGCAGAAATGTGTGGTGCGTGATAAACTTCAGCTGACTTGTGGCAGTAGGAAGATATAGGACGTAACCATGTTGGTCGTCCGGGCTCTGTTGCAGATGCGTGCTGGTATGAAGTGAAATGCTCCGCAGGTCAACCGAACTTGGACACTTACTTTCGACGAAAATGGGGAACACGCAAGCCGATTTTTGGTGGGGGCCCTAGCCTTGACCTCGTTGGTCTCTCCTAGTGCGTGCGACGAAGGCCTCGAGGACATTAGCGTCGAGTGCCAGGCCCGATCTCCATTTCCACTTCGCTCGACGGACGTCACTGTCATTGCGAGGCGTTTCAAGGGCACACCGTGCAGGAAGACGAAGAACTTGCAGAGTGCCTCCGGATGACAAGCCGCGGCATGTCAACGCTCAATTCCGTCAGTCCATGTCCGTTGAGGTGGATGGCTGTGCACCTCACGCCGGAGTGGGCGAAAAAGGTGAGTGCCATCGAGGTGGATTCGTTGGGCTGTCTCGGAAGCGCAGAGGGTCACGTGTCCTGCTCCACGTCAGGGCGGTATGTACGAAGCCTTCAAATGTGGCAATTTGGGGAAGCTGGACGAACTACTGGTCGAGCTAAAGGTGCAGCCTTTGATGTTTAACACTGCTTGCCTATGGCCTCAGTTGCACACGCGAGATGGATGGCGCGCCTCTTTGTGTCGTTTGTGCACGACGTGCATTCACCCATCTGCAGGGATTGGTCGAGCATATTCGGATGAGTGCTTCAAACTTTTCCGGTCGCAGAAGTTCAAAGACGAGTTCAAACGACATGAATTTCCGACTTGTCTAGAATTGTGCCAAGAAGCTAAGCCTGGGCCCAGCGGAACGAATTATTGAAGACACGATGCCAGTGAGTGAGTGAGTGTCGACCGGCGCTTACGGTGCGGCCTACCTCCCCCGTCCCTCTCAACATCTCAGGGGTCTCCGCAAGCGTCATCGCCCCCCTCCGTCCCAGAGTTCAAGTGGGCGAAAACTAGCTAGTGCAGACAGGTCACGGTGTAGAATACTAAGATACATGTTGCAAGCCCAAGAATCGGAGAGACGTAGTCCTTGATCAGGGATAAAGCAGGCAGGAGGCCAAGCCAGACGTTACCAACCGATCATACGTATGCTTATATGCGCCAAAGAACACACCAAGTAACCGGCAGACGCAAAGAGTTGCAAGGAGGCGAACCGTGCGGCCAGTGCCGAGGGAGCGAGGCTCCATGCACAGAGGGCACACGCAAGGCGACCCAAAGGCGCGGGCTACGTTGCGAGGAAACACTGTTCCAGCGCCGAGGGCGAACAAGCCGCCAATCAGGTACTGCATATAAACATACACGGCGCAGCCCTGGAACAAAGCCGATAACAAAGGCAGCAATCCAGCGAGCTGTTAATGCATGTGATGAGCGTGGACTACCTCACCTCGACACTGGATGTTCTCAGGCCCATGATGGGTGGAGACGTTGCCATCGTCGGATCAGTTGCAACAACAGTTAAGCCAGAATACTAGAGGGCACTGTCGCCCTAGCACAAGGGAGGGGGGGAAAGGAGATGCTCATCGGGAAAAAGCCCTTG